CCCAGATTCACGGGAACATATGTAGATGTCCCAACCCGGTGTACGGGCGTCGGGCCATCGCCAATCAGACCGGCGTCCGTCTCATCCACCGCAGTGACGTTCGCCTCCCTGGCCTTCCTCTTCTTAAGGGGGGATGACGGGCCACCCCAGCCACCCCAGTCGCCCTGTCGTCGGCACACGAGCCCAGCTCTTTTTCTTCCTTTGAGCCTCGATCTCGCGGTCGACTCCACAGTCTCCGTGGGTCAGCCTGGGGCCGCGACCGCTGGTTCGACCACCCGTCGCTCCACCATGGCCGCCAGTCCGACCTCCACGAGTAGAACCGGCAACTGGTGCGGAGGGACCGGACTCAAAAATCCCTGGGGCCGTCGGTGCCGAAGTAGCCGGGGTAAGGAACCACGCTGGACCCGCTCACAGATGTCGAGCCCGACGCTTTCTTAGTCGACTTCATAAGGAAGGACATACGACTAGCCATCTTTTTTCTCTCTTTCAGTGGATTGGGGTTGGCGCGCGCGTGTTTGTTGGCCTCCTTCACAGAGCAGTGCCCGCACACTCGATGCAGCGGATAGTAGACTGTCGAACCGAAGGCAAGTCAAATTACCGAAATCAATCGAAAACGCGAGGTAATCAAAGAAAACGATCATACCTGGGGTAAAATAGCTGCACTTGTATTCGAAGCACTAGCCATGTGTTAGCAAGCTCTCATCTGAAACAAGGTCGCGATAGAACCTCTCTTCTTCTTCAAGCCCTAGCAAGATGCTGACCTTCTCAGCAATGTCATCACTGACGTCAACGCGCGGGTTGTGGACTGAAACGCAAACACCGACCTGTTAGCACAAGGAAAAACACATAATTAGAACAGATCGTAAAATAAAGAGAACTTACAAGGCCCAAAGATGAAGCCCGTAATGGATGTCTATCCGCCTTCAGTGTTTGCCACGCGCTGGAGATCCAGAACCACTCCGGCATGTAACCGTACAGCGAGTCCGGGACTTTGTAGATGAGCGTCTTGTCGATCCCGAGGGCAACCGAGCTATAATAATTACCGGTCTCCTCGGACTTTTTGAAGACAATGAGGGACCTCACGTCGGTGCTCGTAGGGTCAGCCCAGCCCTGTTTCTGGAACAAGACGATCAAACTAATAATGCGGGCAAAGACGGTGGGCACGAGCTGGTTGATCCCGATGTCGAGGTCGCCTAAGACTTCGCTCAAGTTGCTGGGAAGGGGAAAACAGAGGCCAAGTTTAATGTTGTGGCAGTAGACACCAATGCAGCCTGACGTCTAGCAGTGGATGCGCTCGCCGGCGTAAGGGGCAAATGCATGTATTCCAGGGCCAAAACTCACTTTACCCCTCAACAGCGCTAAATCCACGTCGCCAAAAATTGACGGCACATTCCAGGCCGTCATCGTCGACGGGGTCGCCCAAACGCGCGGGGGTCGATGACAACTCCCAGGGGGAGCCATGGTCGTGGCTTCAATGGCCACGTCGGTCTCGGCATCCTCACGACCCATAGGAACCCGCTCACGGCCTCGGGTATCTCCTTGAAGGGTTTCGTCGACCAAGTCTGGGTCGACATCCGAGTCGTCGTGAGAACGCCCTGCGTGAGCCTTTGCTTTCTCTTCCTCGCTATCAGAGGGATTGGAGCCGAGTTCGATGATCTCAATAGTAGAAAACTCTGGAGGCCTCCTCTCGCCCAGACCCGTCGTTGCCGCCGCCGCTGGAGTCATCCGGATAGCCGAGATGGGCATAACCCGAAGTGGTTGCACCGCTTCTGGCGCTGGAGGAGAGTAAACTACCAACTCTTCGTCTCTTCCACCACTGTCCGCCCCCCATCTTCGCCGGAGCGATTCGCCGCAGAACCAGAAAAAACCGACATGCCGAAAGAAAGAAAGAAAGAAAGAGATGAGAAGTATAATTACCGGGTTAGGATTTCGCAAACTCGGCTCTGAAACTTGCTCTGTAAATTCTGTAAATCGCCTGCTCAAAGTCATCGAAAAAGTAAAAATCTCGCAGCGAAGGAGATGATGCCTATATATAAGGACCTTCGACCAATCACAGCACGACACGTGGCGGCGTTTGAATTTCGAAAATTAAATGTAAAAAACTGTTTGAATCGAACAGTCTCGATCGAAGCAATCCGACGGTACACGAGGAGTCGCGTGGGAACCACGCGGCTGAGTAACTACCCTTTTGCTAGAACGTCGCGACGCTCAACGTGGTCGAATCAAATAGCACCACGTGTAAAGGCTCTGACACGGCGCGACTTTTGAAGACCGACGGCAAAGATAACGTCCACATCGCATTAATGGACCCATCGTTTCGGATCACGTCATCAATGTACGGCTGCAATAAGCAAAGTCCTTCCCAAGTTAGACAGGGGAGCCAGGCTCGCAAGCAAACAAGTCGGGGAAAGGTCTGGCAAACTCAGGTGTGCCTCGGAACAACGGCCTAAGTCGAACGAATAAAACAAAGCCAAACTCAGACATTACTGTAAACGACGACCTCAGATAAGACGCCGGGGACCTCGCCCCCGAGCTCGGGGGGCTGTATGTTGATATCCGAGTTGACCGGGAGGGAACCGGACAAAATCGAACCCCTAGAACTGGGCAAGGAAACTGGACCGATACATAGGTGTCGGGTTGAATTCAGAAGGCAAAATGTTCACAACCATCACTGGAATAGTTCATGAGATCGGCACTTGGCACCGAAAAGCCGAGGTGTCGGGCTCACTGGGCGCCGGCTAGAAAATGGATCTTGGAGGTTCAAGGAATGCGCTTGGTTCGGGTGCCGACCTGGAGGTCCGAAACAGCTACTTGGAGACGGGCGCAGGGCTCGATAACATTAATATATTTTCACTTTGAGGATCATCATTGGACGATGGGACGGGTTGTCATAATCTACCACCTACCAACACCTAGCCCAACGAAAGCCTGTCAGGCATTAAATGCCCACCATGTCTGTTTTTAATGCCTGGTAGGTAATGATTGAAGAAACCTCAAATCGTATTTAATGCTGTCAGCGAGGCGCCGAATTGCTCCACGAAATCACTATACGACAAGACCGGTGAACGGTATCTGAACAGTAGCAGGATACTATAAATAGGAACCCATCTCATTAATTTTGGGTTGTTGAATCCTCAACTACTCTACCTTCTCTCTACTTTCTCTCTCTAGAAATCTGTAATAAACTTCTGTAATAATTCAAACTTCATTACAGGTGTCGACCTCGTACGAGAGTGTCGGCCTCGTAATTATGTAATAAAACATAATTAACCCGTATTTTCTCCTTGTGTTCGGTTCTTAACTTCCACTAAACTTTATTTTAACCGTTGATCGGATCCGTCCATCAACATAACTTATATATTTTTAAACAGAAGTCTATGTGTAAACCGTATCTAAGAAAATAAACACTTGACACCTACATATATTAGGATTCTAAATAGGCTTATATAAATAAATTAAATTATTTAGCAGGATATATATGATATTATTTATAGTGATTTTATGAAAATTGCATAACCAAATATACCGGAGATTGTAAGAAGTATTTCTTGATAATCTATAGTCTTATTATTTTACAACTATAAATTACTCAATTTAAAGAAAGAAATAATTGCGTACGTGTATGCAATAAATTTCAAATTTGTATTCTACAGGATTAAACAAAACCCAAAATTTTAGGATGTTCCCATCTGATTTCATTTTGAATTTCAAATTAATATTACCTAACTCTATTTTATGTTTAAAAAAAAATCTCAACTAAAGAAAGTAGTAGCCAAATAATTTTATGGTAATCAATATTTTTATTAAGAAATGAGAAAGAATTTTGACTTTTGCAAAATTGTAAGCATTAGTCGAATTTACTTAAATCAAATCAACATAACCCATAAATTTAGGGTGCATATATAATTGCTCGAGTTTTTGGGAATATTTAAAAAGAAAATTAAAAACTGCCGAAAATAGAATGCAATAAATGCTGGTTGACTTTTCTTGTTACTATTTTTAGTAAATAGGTTCACTCTTTATATATGTATAGATAAGATTAATATTGGCAAAAAAAAAATTCTTAATTATTAGACACTTCTCAAAATGACACATATTATGAACATAAGGGAGTATTATTTTTTGTTTTATTAAATTTATAAAGAAATTCTTCAACTCGTGATCTTTAAAATATAAACATTTCAAGTTACTTTTCAATTTCAAGTCGTATTTTTCAATATGAATTTACTTAATTTATTTTAAGTTTGTAATTTTATAAAAATGTGATGACCTTTTTATATTTAATAGTGAAATTACTGAATGAATAAAAAGGAATTTCAGCAGACCATAATACAAGGATATGAGAGCTTTTAATTTCTTTATACGAGAAATTTTTAACTTCTGTTTGCTTTGTATTGTAAGTAAGCAATTCAATTTAAGAGTGTCGTAACTTAGTTTGTATCTTATTATTAGATTGTAAGTTTCATGTATTCAAATAATTTTAGTTGAAGCATGTATTCAAATAATTTTAGTTTATTAGTAATTACAAAAATAACATAGAACTTACTCATAAGATTTTTTACCTAACTTTTCAAAATAAAACAGTTACAATTTTTATTTCAATAACATATTATTTCAAGTGACTTACCACCTAATTATATTAAACTTATTATGTCAACTAAATTTTAACCATCATATTATTTCAAGTAACTTATCAACTAATTTTATCAAACTTATTAAGGCAACTAGATAACCATCAGCTATAAAACTCAAAAATACACTTCATTTGTATCTTTCATTTTTCGCATTGGCTCGTTTGCTACCCAAAACATAATTTAGATTTCAGCAACTAATATAGGTTCAAAATCACTAAACAAAACTTAATAATTATAATAACAAAGATCTGATATCCAATATACATAGAGTTCACTCAGATAAACAGTTTGACTACTGGTGATGTAACATCAGGACTTGTATTCCTACCAAAAGTCCTCAAGGCCCTTTCAGTCTTTAACACAAGATCACACGACCCGTGCAAGATCTTTCGACCCGTGCACATTCATCGAATCCTTCAATCCACGCAAAGATTTAGTGAAAGGCAAGGCAAATGGTGCACAACACAAAACCCCCTTTCATGAAATTCACTTACTCAAACTTATGCCTTGTTTATGCAAGTAAATTTTCCAAATACTTGCTCTTAACTTAACAGGCTTTTTTGTGTCATCCCCAAATTGTGTACAGAACACAAAAACCATCACCCTAGGAAGCTATGCCTGCATTACGTGCGGACTTTTGAACTATTCAAAAAGCTGGTTGTAAATTCACGGCTAGCACCACATCAAAACATCCCAATTAACGTATTAATCAAGTAGTTCATATTATAATCTCACATTGTTTCCCACAAGCACCCATAGTATCGCACACAATACTCCAATTAAAGACAAACATATAAAACCGATTCTAAACTTGCCCGACCTTCTGGTAGTTGCCAAGGCATTGCCTGCAGCAACATTCATCTTTCTGGTGTTAATTCTTACCCTACTGAAGCTAGACATCCGCTCGAAAGCCCTATTTACCAAAGCACTCTCAGAAGCTTCGGCTGGAGTCGTTGGTATAGACTCCACAAAGGACCATAGAGCAGACGAGAACCAAGAGTTTGTGCCATCATCCTCTTTCCGACTTCCAAATTCATTTGCTCCGGCAGATTGATTTACAAAACCACTATTTTGATTTTGATTCAATACACCTAACAGAAACAAAAAGAGAAAATGACACAAGCTGTGAATAATTAGTAAAAACAGACTTTAGCAGCAGAACAATAGCTCTTGAAGCTGGCTCAAACTCCCCCATTTCCACTTGGGCTCGAGAGTTTTTACCACCTTGAAGATGACATGGTTTTGCCATACCATCCATCTGACCAAGAGCTCTATAAATATTAGTCAATAAAGCCAATAACTAACAAGCAAGTAACTTCTTTACAAATTTAGCAATACCAGCAGCAAAAAATAATAATAAAATAAATAAAAAAAAAATGTTGCTAAGTCACGCATTTGACGAAAAAAAATATTTAAAGAAGAGAATATTCAGCGTGCAAGTCATGAGAAACTAGTGAAATAAAAAACACACTTGTAATGGTGCTCCGAAGTTACATCCTTGGGATTCCCACAAGATTCAGTACCTGAAGAATGAGATGGAAAGTGTCCCTGATTTGCTTCCGCACCATTTACGACACTGCAACTTTGCTTGTCTGTCCACATCCGATACGCAACCCCTTCTGGATCATTAAATTGTTGCTGCATCAGAAAATGCCCAGTTGGGTTCTCAGGATTGTCCAACTGCAAATTCGAGACTGCATCAAAATTTCTATTGTCGACAAAACTATCCATGTAAGGTTGAGAAAGCTCCCTTGGATGAACTGGTCCCAGGTCACAAAGGATCGAAGGGGCATCCTCGTAAAAGTCGAATTCACTCAAACCATCGAACCCATCGAACACCTGATTCTGTGAATCATTGATCACATGATCATCGGTCTCTTGTGCGTTCAGAATCGAGCCACTCAGATCATCCATTTCGAGAAAATCTTCAAGGAAATCCTCTTCAATCACACGGGGATTTTTCATATGATTGACCGAGAATGACGAGACCTCAGATGCCTCACTAAAGGATAATCCATTAATCCCAGACTGTGTAAGGTCAAAATTAGCTGCTGCCACATTTGGCTGCATCCCAAATGGCTGCATCATGGGTAATGAAACATCTCTACAAGAATGGTCTATAGAGTTACTAACAGTCTCAAGCTCCCCCATGAACTGTTCAAAAGTAATCCCGTCTTCATCAGCAGCTAGGGTTTGAAGAGGGATAGGCTCGTCCACCATCCTTTTCATGATTTCCTCGAGATCATCCTCCAATGAGGACACAAGTTGACTGTTGACTGTTTCTCCATTGTCTACAACAACGGCCTCGTTAGCAATCATTACAGGATTCTCTTTCTCAACGAGGCATCGAGTTTCAACCCCTTCGTCTTCCCATTCCTCTTCATTAAAGGGAGCACCATATTGCTCCCCGTTCTTGGGACCCGGGCCACTCTTCTTGTAGACCTTATATAGGGCATAATAATTCTTGGCAGTCTTGCATCTATTCAACTCATCCTCATCCATAGTATATTCGTGCATTACCCAGTCCGTGCGCTCCCCACTTGGTGCACGCCCTCTATAGAAAACCAAGGTCTTCTTTAGTCCGACCGCACGAGCACCGCACATGATCACACGGTCTTTGCCAGTCGCTTTCCAGTACCCGTGCCTCGTGGCTCGATTGGACCGTGCACCATTTGGATATTTCCTGTCCCTGGGACTAAAGAAGAACCACTGTCTGTCGCCAGTTTTCAGTTTTGACATCCCTGAAATTTTTCGATTTAAGAATAGTCAGTAAATTATGAGTCGGTGCATACAGAAGAACAAAAAAAAAATAAAAATAATAATAATAATAATAATAATAATAATAATAATAATAATAATAATAATAATAATAATAATAAATATCATTGGAATGGAACTGCGGGTGTACGGCAAAGTGAAATAACTTCGAGAAGAAATGCATACAAAATCATTCAAAACTATCATTCCCGAGGCAAAGCAGGTTGGGGAAATACTATCACATAAGGAGGGGCAAAGTAATCAAACAAATATTTCATGTAGAAACCAATATATAATTCAATAGCTAAGGCATACGAAACAATTACAGAACGTTCTATAGGAATCAAAACTCTAACTTATAATCCAGGATTATACATTACCTATGCAATTCAAAGCAGCAATATAATCAGACTTTTAAATCTAGGAACATTAGAATAATAATAATCCTGCAAGAAAACCAGACAAACTAATCAACTAACAGTGCCACGTTTTGACTTTAACCACAATCAAAACTAGACAAACAGAACATATATCTTACATATCATAAACAGACTAAAAACCCACAAACGATTATCAGAAACCCGAAAATACAATCATTTAATCAAGCAAACAAACAAGCACAAGAATGATTTTCAAACAAATATTAATCAAATTCAAACTCAAAAGAAAGATCCAATCCAGAACCCACATACAAAAGAACTCCACGATCAAACGAAAACCAAACCAGCAAAAGTAAACTCCCAAAAAGAAACAAAATTGGGTCAAAAAACCTACCAGGCAACTCCTCCGGATCACACTTGTAAACGTCCAGCTCGCCGATCACGTCCAGACGGTGCCGTTTACAGCAGATCTTCCTCTTCAAATAATAAAGCACGAGCTCCTCGTCGGTGGGATGAAATCTGAACCCGGGAGTTAAAATCTTGCCGTCCCAAAAACAATCTGTAACCACCTTCATCTTTAAATTATCGAGAAAAGGGTCAAACTGATATGGGTTTTGCAGTATGTGATCGTGTACTAATTGGGGAAAAACAACGAAAAATCCTCGAGAGGATGGGGGAGGAAGAGTGGTGGATAACAAACGAGAAAATTAGGTCAAAAAGAGGGATTATAAAAATTGGGTATTAATTAATAGGTGTTCGAAAGTACATGGAAACTACTGAGCAGTTGAGTAGCAATCCTTTGACTTTGCTAGTCTTTGTTAGGAGTGAGACCAAAAACAAAAATATAAAATTTGTACACCCGAACCGAACTACACCGCAAAATAAGAAAAAGTCAGAAACTAACAAAACCAATATTTTTTATTTGGTGCAGTTCGGTTTTTTGGTTAACCTTCATTTAAAAATACAAATACTCAAACCAAAGTTCAAACCATAGAAATTAAATTTTAAGGTAAAACACAAATCAAAGTTCACTAAATTAAATTTTTATATTTAAACTTTAAAGTTATTCAGTTAGGAATGTAAAATCGTGACTTTAAGGGTTTAAGGTAATATACTAGCAACTTTATTTGACGCATCAAATTTTTGGTGTCGTTCGGTTGAAACAGCATATTCATACTCAAAATCGAACCGCACAAATTTTTTTGCGGTTTTCTAAAATTCAGATCGCACTGCAAACCGAATCTTTTAAAAACAAACTCACCGCACCGGACGCATCGGTTTGGTACAGCTTTTCGATTTCGGTGCAGCTTTTCGATTTCGGTGCAGTTTTGTTCACCCCTAGTCTTAGTAGGCTTAGGTCAATTTTTTTAACAGAACCGGTAACCAACCCGAATGAGTCTCGATTATGGGTTGACCAAGTTTAGTTCAAGATCCATAATGCTAAAAAAATATTGTAATTGCTAAGTCTACAAAATAGACGTTGCAAATTGATATAGCCATACTCGGATAGACAGGCTACAACCGGGCATCAAGTCGAGATATCCACATGTAGACCCGTGTAAGGCATAACAACCCGAGTCGAGTCATCATCATGACGACCTAAAAGATAGCAACTCGAGGACGTCGAGTTATTAAAGTAGCTCGCAGTAGGTCTAATCTCAGGACCTGATGCTAGTGGAGGACAAGTAGATCAATGACAGTTCTCTTCACCGTTAGGAATATTTAGGGGTCGACCTCAATCCTTCTGTAACTCGAGGTCGACCTCCTTAATAGTTTATATCTCGAAGTAGACCTCAACCCTTCTGTAACTCGAGGTCGACTTCCTTAATAGTCTATATCTCTAGGTCGATCTCAACCCTTCTGTAACTCGAGGTCAACCTACTTAAACGTCCATAGCGCAAGGTCGACATCTCAAGGGCAATTTAGGGGCAAGTGACGAGACTTAAGATGATGATTCCACCTCATTGCTAATTCTTAGTCGACCTCCTGTTGCTTGAGGTTGACTTCCTACACGTCGTAGCTCGAGGCGTGCTATAACAGATTACTTCAATACTCAAATGGGCTTAACGGATAGAGATAAATCTTTAAAGGATAAGACTGAATCTTAAACTAACTCAGATCTGACTAAGGAGTGACTAGGATACATATACACTGGGTAGCTGGCCAAGCTGACTGGGAGGTAGTTCAGGCATGTATTTTTCTCTATAAAAGGGAATGAGGTAACACCAATCCCTAATTTTACCACTTTCTACTCATTTTCGTATGTTGTCGTTGCTCTATATGGAGCACTTTCATCACTTCTTGATACTCACTTAAGCATCGGCTACACCGGAAATCCCTCTGGCGTTGAGTTCTTCCAGATGTTCGTTGCGATCCAGAGGCGGTTCAAACAAATTGGATATCATCTCAACCGGTTCACTCTAGATCTAGGAGGAGACCCATCACAAATAATGTTACAAAAATAAACACAATTAGTTTTGAAGACTTTTTCAGTCTCATATTAATACATCCAAACTTTTAAAAGTCCTAAAAAAAATTAAATTAAATATATTTTAAAATTTTTTTAGTCATTAAAAATCTTAGGGCTTGTTTGGCAATCAACTGTTCGATTAGCGATTAGCGGATTCTATTAGCTACTTTGACCAACGGATTAAATTAGTTGTTTTGACTATCGGATTATATTAGTGGTTTGTCAACTAATGTTTCGTAAAATTAATTATTCAAAATTACATATTAGTAAATTATGTGAATATTTGATTGTTTTTACGATTATGAAAGTCATTTTTATTTAATCAAATAATTTATCTTTTGTGATTTTGAGAAGTTGATTTCATAAAGTTCAATTAATAAAAAATAAAGGGTAAAATACTTTTTCCCATCCGAACTATCACGATTTTGGCGCATCACCATATAAACTATTTTTTTTAACAAACCACCATATGAACTATACGGGTTTGTCAATATGCCCCCTAAACCGGATATAAAAGTGGTTTAGGGGGCACATTGACAAACTTGTGATAGTTCATATGGTGGTTTGTAAAAGTATTTAGGGGGCACATATAGTGACCAAACATCTTTTTCAGTCAAAACCACTTTTATATCTGGTTTAGGGGGCACATTGACAAACTTGTATAGTTCATATGGTGGTTTGTAAAAAAAAATAGTTTATATGGTGATGCACCAAAACTGTGATATTTCGGATGGGAAAAAGTATTTTACCCAAAAATAAATAAATATTTTGATACAAAAAGTAAACAACTTTATATTTTATTTATTTATTTATTTATTTATTTAAATTCTAAACAATATATATATATATATAAACAATATATATATATATATATATTGTTTAGAATTTATATAAATAAATAAATATGCATGTGTGTAATGAATTTGAAGGTAGTTGTACTAGTCTTCATTATTATTGTGGAGAATCTGTTTCCAGTACCCCTTCCAACTTGAAGGTAGTTTTGCCACAATGGCACCAATTTGAAAAGCCTCCCAAACTCTAAATTTTTTCACAAATTTGCAACTCATGAATTTGAGGTAATAAAAGTTTTTCGTCAAAAACATTAAAATCAGAATATTGGAAAATTAAAAACTTTTTTAAACATTCTTCTTCAGTTTTATATTTATTTTCTAGAGCCTCTCAAATTTCTCTAGCCTAGGTGTAGAGATCATATAGCCTATCAGATAAGACATTTAAAAAATGGCCCCGACATATTGGATCGTCTTCCTCTCTTTTCTTCCATGCAGCCACAATTTCTAATGTATCATTCTCATTTGGCTTTGGTAGAGAAGCCAAGGTAGGATCGAGGATATAAAATATCTTGAGGGTCGTGAGAAGAAAGTTCACTTTGTCTTGCCATCTAGTGAAATTCGAACCATCAGACCTATCCAACTTCACAAGGTCTTAATTTGTGATCTTGATCTTCTCCATCTCTATGCAAATAGAGTTTTTTATTGTTGGAAATAATAGTTAACAATAGAGAAGATGCACTCAACAAAACTCAAATTTTCTTTACTCAATATTTCTCTCAAGAACAATAATATAAAACACAAGTCTCAAACAAGTTCTTTGCAACTTTGTCAAAAAACTCTATTTCCTCCCTCTCTTGGAAATCTTTCGAGAAAACACAAAATAGAAATGGATGTTTTTAGGATTGATCAAGCCTTCTACTTTTCTTCATAAGATTTCACAAAGAAGAGAAGTATATAAAGGTGTCAATATTATCAATATAATTAAATAATATCATCTCGTCATTCTTACACATCTTTTTTTTCGAAACGATAGAGGTACTATATTGATAAAGCCGCACAAAGTGCGAAAAGAAAGCAGCCAAAGGTTGAATAGTACAACTAAGGACTTAAAAACTGGGAGGCAGATCCGGAGATTGCCTAGAGCCGACCCCAACAGGGTAATACTCTGGAAACCACACTAAAACACTAAACCATCTACACAAACAAAACTAAAAAGATCCCAATAGGATAATACCCGAGTGTCTGATCCCAAAAGGATAATAAGTTGACACTCAGGTTCATCGGGCTCACAGGGGCAAACTGCCCAAACCAAAAACACAAGATTGAACAACACAAAACCAACAAACTAAAAAAAAAATCCTAGAACAAACAAAACAACTAAAACTAAAGAACTACAGCCCTCCCTCAGCAACACACACATCCGAAATAAACCGCGGACATAGACTGACCCCCTAGGAGAGATGCAAAGCAAATGAGCCACGCCCGCCACTTCCTAAAGCCTAGGAAGACGAAGACCCAAGCCCCGAAACCAAACCAGAGGAACCGACCCACACTCCGAACGTAAACTGCCACAATCCCCTCAAGCGGCTAACACCACTAGCAAATTCCAACACCGATTCAGACCTGACTAACACCACTAGCCAATTCCAGAAACGACGAGCCTCCCAATGACTCAACATCAGAGAAAAAGGGAGAAAGGGAAGAAGTGGCTGCAAAGCCAGGCTGCTCCGACCCCACCCGAACGAGCAACAAGCATCCCATCGGGTCCCCAACACAAACCCAAGTTGTCTCCCCTACCTCGCCGATGAACCAATAACCAGAGGTTACTAGACCACCCAGATATGAAACAGAGATCCAGATCGAGCCCAACTGTGGAAATCGACAATGGGAGTCGTCCCTCCACAGAGGCGACGCAAGCAAACCAAGCCACCTCCACCCACTGGCGCCACACCACATGAAGCCCCACCACCCCAGATCGCAGGCGGGATTCACCAAGATGAGAAACTTCCGAACACCCAACCAGCTTCCCGCGGCTTGAGACGAAGGAGGAGTGGACCACGACCAGATCCATGGAAGTGCGGCGGAGTCCCGTCCACGGACAAGCCCGGATGGCCCGCTGAGAGAGACGCACCAGCGAATTTGAAGTTAGGTTGTAGACGGGCGATTTGGGGTTTTTCTCTTTCAGCATTCTTACACATCACATCTACTTTAATTCACTATGTATCTACTCACATAATTTTAACTAATGATTATTTCATATTATCTCTCTCCTACTTTTACATCAAATTTACTTTAATTATTTTAATATAAATCC